TTCCCAGAATCCTCTATTCACTGGATTCTACAGACATGGTGACATGTATTTTTAATTAAAATATTTTCAGACTGCTTTACAAAAGGTGGCATTGATTCAAATTTCCACCTACAATGTGTCATAATATCCTATTGATAATGGGGATACATATATCACAAATGTAAAGGGAGAGCTCATTATGACTTTAATCTGCTTTCCCCCAACTTCTAGCGAGTTTGAGTATCTCCAGTTTGTCAGTCATTATGACTTTTCATCTGCTTACTCCTGGCTTTTGGCCAGTGAACTATTATAGAGTTTATTCCCTTGTTTATAAAAGCTCCCGGCGTATGCAGATATTAGCCCTCCCTCTTGTGCTCTGCATTTTTTGCCTACTATATTGTTTGTCTAGGAGGTGCATATTAAAATCCCCAAGCTCTCTCTAATATATTTCTCTCCCTAGTGCTCCTAGTTCTTACTTTATATAGCTTAGGGCTTTGTTGTTACATCCATACACATTTGTGATCATTGTATCTTCTTTGTCTATTATTCCCTTTATTAGTAAACAACGTCCTCTTTTACATCATTTGATGTTTCGCACCTTAGACACCATTTTAATAGGATATATCGGTGATTTCCTCTAATTTCCTTTATTTTCTACTTTTCCATAGGACTTTGCTTCAAGCCATGCAGCTTTTACCTGGTTCTCTTGGTATGCTTCTGGGGGAAACTAGTCGTCACGTAAGAAGACTGAGACTGTCATCCTGGAGAGACCAACAGCCAGCATCAAGAGCCTGTCACGGGAGGGCGCCATTTGGACCTCCAGTCCAGCTGCACCTTCAGACAACTGCAGCCTTGGCTGATGTCTCACTACACTTATACGGGAGACGCCCAGTGAGAACTTCCCACTTGAGTCCTTCTCAAATTCATACCCACGAAACTGTGAGCATAATAAAAGTTTTTTTAAGCCACTAAGATTGAGACAATTTATTACACAGTTAGGAGTCCCACATCATGTTTCCTTTCCTGCTTCTAGCCAATGAGTAGCATTTCCTTCTGCATGCATGAGAGTTATACCTCTCATTTGTTAGTCTTCTCCTTTTTCCCTTCCACGTTTTAAGATCCATACTTGTGCTTACTTTCCTTATCAAGTTACAATATTTATTTAAACATATTTATATGGAACTATTATAAATGTCAGACACTGTTCTAAGTTCTTTACAAACATTAAGCTTGTTTAAAACTCAAAAGAAGCTAACTAGATGGGTACTAAGATTATCCTCATTTTTTGACAAGAAGATGGAAGCAGAGAAGGGTAAGTAACTTGCTCAAGTTCACACAACTAGTATGTGATGGAGCTGAGACTGCAATTTAGGAAGTCTGGTTTGGAATTTACCCTGATAACTGCCAAGATATACTTTCTCTGCAACTCCTCCCTGAGCACGTTCACCTTATCTGATCCTTACACTCATCTCCACTGTGTCAGTATTTAGATTAGTTCTCAACTGTTTTGAATGTACATTTTCTTTTTCTTCGATTTTTGAGGAATGGAGGGTCCTTGCTTTTATAGATGACAGTAAAGTCCTCTAGGATATCTACCCTACTTCCCAAATCTCTCACAGTGGCCTCTTGGCTTTGTGTCTCTTCTTGATGAAGAACTTCCTCCAAGAATATTTTCTTTTTTTCCCTTCCAGTTTTATTGAGATATAATTGACGTACAACATTTAGTTTAAGGTGTAAAACATAATGACTTGATATATGTATATATTGTGAAATGATTACCACAATAAGTCTAGTTAATATCCATCACCTCATGTAGTTACAAATTTCTTTTTCTTGTGATGAGAACGTTTAAGATGTACTCTCTTAGCAAGTTTCAAATGTACGGTATAGGATTGTTGACTAGAGTCACCATGCTGTACTTTCACCCCTGGAACCTATTGATCTTATAACTGGAAGTTTAAACCTTTTGACCACCTTCATCCGTTCCCATACCCCTCTCCCCCCACTTCTGGCAACCACCAATATGTTCTCCATTTGTATGAGTTTGGATTTTTCAGATTCCACATGTGAGATCATACAGTATTTGTCTTTCTCTACCTGACTTACTTCACCTAGCATAATGCCCTCAAAGTCTATCCATGTTGTCACAAATGGCAGGATTTCCTTGTTTTTTAATGTCTGTATAATATTCCAACGTATACATATGCCACAGTTTCTTTACCTATTCATCTGTTCATGGACACTTAGGTTATTCTCACGTCTTGACTATTGCAAATAATACTGCAATGAACATGGGGGTGCAGATATCCCTGAGACAGTAATTTCATCTCCTTTGCATAGATACCCAGAAGTGGAATTGCTGGAACACACAGTGGTTCTATGTTCTATTTTTTGAGGAACCTACATACTGTTTTCCGTAGTTGCTGCACCAACATTCCCATTAAGAGTGCACAAGGGCTCCATTCTCTCCACATCCTCGCCAACACTTGTTATCTCTTGTCTTTTGAATGACAGCCATTCTAATAGATGTGAGATGATATCTCACTGTGGTATTTATTTGCATTTCCCTGATGATTAGTGATGTTGAGCATCTTTTCATGTATCTGCTGGCCATTTATTTGTATGTCTTCTTTGGAAAAATGTCCATTTAGTTTGTCTGTCTATTTTTCAATCGGATTTTCTTTTTTTGCTATTGAGTTGCATGAGTTCTTATATATTTTTGGATATTAACTCCTTATCAGATATATGATTTGCAAATATTTTCTCCCATTCCGTAGGTTGTCTTTTTATTTTGTTGATGGTTTTCTTTGCTGTGTAGCTATTTAGTTTCATGTAGTCAAACTTGTTTATTTTTGCTTTTGTTGCCTTTGCTTTTGGTGTCAAATCCAAAAATCACTGCCAAGACTGATGTCAAGGAACTTACCTTCTATGTCTTCTTCTAGGAGTTTTATGGTTTCTGGTCTTATGTTCAAGTCTTTAATCCATTTTGAGTTGATTTTTGTGTATCGTGCAAGATAGGGGTCCAGTTTCATTCTTTTGCATGTGGCTATCCCAGTTTTCCCAACATGAGTTATTGAAGAGACTATCCTGTACCCATTCTATGTTCTTGGCTCCTCTGTTATAAATTAATTGACCATATGTGTGGTCAATTAATAAATGAATATATTCATATTTATTTCCGGGTTTTCTATTCTGCTACATTGATCTATGTATCTGTTTTTATGCCAATACCATACTGTTTTGATTACTATAACTTTGTAATTAGTCTGAAATCAGGAAGTGTGATGCCTCAAGCTTTGCTCTTTGTCAAGGCTGCTTTGGCTATTTGGAGGTCTTCTGTGGTTCCATACAAACGTTAGCATGGTTTCTTCAATTTCTGTGAAATAAGGTGTTGGAATTTTGATAGGAATTGCTTTGACTCTGGAGATCGTTTTGGCTAGTATAGACATTTTATCAATATTAATTCTTCCAATCCATGAGCATGAAATATCTTTCCATTTATTTGTGTCTTCCTCAATTTCTTTCATCAATGTCTTGTGGTTTTCAGTAAACAGATCTTTCACTTTCTTAATTTATTCCTAGGTATTTTATTCTTTTTGATGCAATTTTAAATGTGACTTTCTTAATTTCTCTTGCTGATAGTTCATTGTTAGTATATACAAGAGTATTTTTAAATAATTTTTTTTTAAATAATAAACTTAGTAAGTTCTTGTATATCTGAGATTATTTTTAACTTGCTCTCATACTTAAGTGACAGTACAGCTGGGTTAAAATTTTAAGGTTCAAAGATCTTTTTCTTCCACACTTTGAACATATTTCTTAACTGTCTTCTTGCGTCTAGTACTGCTGTTGAGAAGCCTGATATCAATTTGGTTTTTGTTTACAATCTGCTCTTTCTCTTCGAAAGTTTTTAGAATTTTCTCTGGATCTATGATATCCTTAAATGTTACGATAATGTGTCTAGGTGTGAGTTTTTTCTTATCCACTCTCTTTAGCACATAATGATGTACTTTAATATGAGGTTTTTCATCTTTAATTCTGGGAAATTTTAGGTAATTATTTCTTCCAGTACTTCCCTCTCTCTATCTTTTACTTCCTCTTGAAAGTCCTACTATACAGATACTGACACCACTTCTGCCATGTGTCTTACCTTTCATCTTCCCCATCTCACTAACTTGTTTTTCTGCTGCGTCTGGTTTGCTCATTCTGCTATGAAAGCCTTCTGCTGAGTTCTTGATTACAGCAGTTCTATTTTCCCGTCAAGCACCTGCAAATTATTTTCTTCCTAAGTGCCTTATCCTGCCCCATGTTACCAACACACATCCTTTCTTACCTCTTTGAGGCTATGTATTGTGCTTATTTTAAATTTATTTTCTGTCTGGCCTCAAAATTTTGCCTTAACTAGCACAGGTTACTCAGTTTGTTGTCTTTCTTTTATACTAGTTAAAATTTTGTATATTTTATTAATTTTCCAGATCCATCAACCTCTCTGTGGTTTATCGAAGGTTTGTGTTCTCAGGAGGGAGATCATTTCAGTTTCCCAATTTCTAGAATTTCTTTGTAGGAACTTGAGATGAGCAACTCAATCTTCACGTTCTACCATATATAATACTCAGTCGTAGTCATGTTGAACAGAAAGGAAAAAAAAAGTTCACCTGAATTTTTCACTAAACATTTCTCTTTCTCAGTGTTTTGTTTATTAACTTCAATCTTAGATTCTTCCACAAGTAGTCTCAACTTAATACTTTTCTTACAATACATCCTCCCAGCACTACTCCTTACCATAACAGATTTCAAAATACTGAATTTAAGAACATGGAAGTAAAACAAAACAAACTTTCCCTACCTTTCTCAGTGGTGATTATTTCCATTCATATAGAATTTATTTTCTTTCCAAACTTTTCTGTTTGTAATTTTGAGGAAAACAATAGCAAAAATCACAGCAAATACAAATACAGAAGAAATCGATTCTCTTTTTTTCATTTTTCAGAACACACCATGCTTATAACTAGAATGAGTACCTTAGCTGGAAAGCCGGCTGAACCAGGGCACCCCTTTTTCCTTAAGGTTGGTGTGTGAACTGGAAGTGGAGCGGAGTCTACAGTCTGAATCCAGGGGCAAAAAAGAAATATATAAATGAATGTCATGGAACGCTCCATCTATTTCAAACATCACTAGAAATAAATCAAAGTAAATAAAGCCAAACAAAACATCGATAAGGCAAAAAATATCTCAATAAAGCTAAAATTCTCCTAGTGTTGATAATTTAAATTTCTACCGGCCATGTCTACAAATGAATCATTTGTTCAAATTATTTCAGTCTGAAAATTTAAAAACAAATAATTTGGAAAAGACAATCCACAGAAGAAAACAAAAAAGTCATAGCATGGAGCCTATCTAAAAATGAGGATATTCATTTTCCAGTCTTCTGAAAATGCCATATTAATTCTAAAAAATACTTGAAAGAGTTTTCAGAAAGATTTGTAGTCAAAGTATTCAGAAGAGTCTTTTAACTCCTTGACTTCTATATACAGAATGCATATTACATTTATGGAACACAACCTTGTGGATTTGTGTGTATGTGTGTATATATCCAGAGGAAGAAATGGGACAGAGATATTAACTGACTGATTAGTGGGATTTTCGTGCAGAAATTAATTTCCAAAGAAGGGAGTTAGATTACTTAATATTATTGGAATTCAGAACTTAGATACAAATTTAGTTACAAGCCATATTTTTATTTTATGAGGTATTATTGTAAGATATTTCTTTGAATGAAAGGAACCAGTGATTCTACTGGATGTTATTGTGGAAAAAAAGAAATAGCGCTTAGTTAGTAAAGTATAAAAAGAAGACATGAAGAATTACTTCCTTTTAGGATATGCTAAGCAAGAAACAAGAGGAAACATGAGCTTTGCATAAAGTTATAGAATATTCTAAAATATTAAAAGAAAAATGAATGGTTCCTTTTTGTCTTTGTTACTCTATAACCTCCAAAAGCAGAATATTTTATATGCATTATAGCCTTAAAATGGAATTGAGCTGAGCTTCTCAGAATTTTCTGCTTAATTATGAGTTTATTCCTAATTTAAACTTAATTTACTTTTAATAGCTTGAAAAAGTTTTGAACGCAATTCATAACATAACAATTAAAAACATAAATATGAAAGACATAAGAGAGGAACACTGAAAACCTATATAAAAGTTAACAAACAAAATTCTCATTTGAATTTACACAGAAAGTCCAAGAGAAGTTTTTAGAATTAAAGGGAGTGAAGCAAGGGTGCTGAATACAAGATCAATCGAGCTCACAAAGACCAGCAATGCCGAATAAGAAAATATATTTTAAAAAGATCCCATTCACCGTAGCAACAAAAACTTTGAGGTACCTAGAAACAAATCTAACAAGCAATATGGAGCACCTTCATGAAGAAAATAATGAGACTTTATTAAAAGACATAAAAGAATATCTAAATAATACATATACCATGTTCATAGATGGAAATACTCAATATCACAAGGATGTTACATCTCCTCAGATAAATCTATAAATTCAACGCAATTCCATTCCAAAACCCCACATGGAACTCAATAAGCTGATCCTAAAAGTCATATGTAAAACTAAAGGGGCAAGAAGAAAAGGAAGAAGAATAAGGTGGATGAGAGTGGCTGACCATACCAGGTATCAGGAATTATTTTAAAGCTACAGTAATTAAGACAATGTGATATTGGTGCAGAAACAGACAAAAAAGAACTATGGAAGAGAACAGAGCATCTCCAAACAGACCCATTATATAAACCAGAGACAGCTTTACATATCAGTGGGGGAAATATAGGAGAGGTAGTTGTTCATAGGAGAAAAATAGATTAGAACCCCTTTTCCCATAATACATAATGATAAATTTCAGTTTGATTAAGGTCCTAAACATGTAAAAGCAAAATTTTTAAACTTTTAGAAGAGAATATGGAGGAAAATCTTTATAATTGCTGCATAGGGAAGAATTGTTTAAAAAGACATAAAAAGCAGAAGTCATAAAGGAAAAGACTGGTAAGTATGACTACTTTAAAATAAAAACTATTGCAAGACAAAAAGATATCACAAATAAAATTTCAAAATAAGCCACAGACTGGAAGAAAATACTTGTAGTGCATATAGGCAGCTAAGGATTAATATCCAGACTATATAAAGAACATTTACAAAACAATAGAAAAAATAATTCAGTAGAACAATGGACAAAAGACATGAACAGGCAAATCACCAAGGGTCAATAAACATACAAAAAGATGCTGAATAACAGTTGAAATCAGATAACTGCAAATTAAAACAAAAATGCCACTCTATACCCATCAAATTGGCAAAAGTTAATGTCTGACAATACCAAAGGTTAGCAAGGATGTGGGAAAATAGGGAACTCTCACATACTGCTGGTGGGAGTGAAAAGTGTCCAACCACCGAGGAAAATCATTTGGCAAAATCTAGTTAAAGTTAAAAATGCACATACCACACAATTCAGTAATTCCACTTCTAGGTATATATTCTAAACAAACTCTGCACATTTGCAAAAGCAGATAGCTATTAGGATGTTCACTTTAGCATTGACTATAATAACAAAAAATTGGAAAAAACCTAAATATCCAACAACAGGAGAATGGATAGTTGTGGTATATTCATATAATGAAATATTATATAACGTTTACAAAGAATGAACTAAATGGACATGTATCTATATGAGTAATCCTCAAAAGCACAATGTTGAATGAAATAAGTTACAGAAAGATACAGATAACCTTTGTGTAGAATTTAAATACACAACAAATGCTATTATATATTGTTTATGGATACAAATGAAATGAAATGTAAAACCAAGGAAGAGTGGATGCACATCACTGTCAGGGTACTTAGGTGTGTCTGGGAAAGGAGAGAGGGCAATGATACAGGCAAGGAAGGGGGTTTCAACTGTCTGGAATATTTTCTTTCTTTGAATACAGATTTGAAAAAAACAGGGCAAAATGTTCACATCAGTTAAATCTGTGGATGGTGGTTACATGGGTATTTATTAGACTATTCTCTGTGTGCTCGAAATATTTCAACACCAAAATAAAAATATATAAACTCAAAATATTGAAACAATGATAAAAAAAAAAAAAAAAAGCAGAGAGTCTCATTAACTTAACCAGTCTGAGGTAGTCTATCACAGGGCTGTGGAAAAGCAAGTCAGAATCTGACTACAAATCACACTTCACTGCAGACAGCCTTCCACACTGGACCGCCTGCTTCCAGTGGAACGCTAGACACAGCTCTGGAGATGAAACAGCAGCAGAGGAGCCATGTCAGACGGGAATGCTGAGTGAAGACACAGAAGTGCATCTTGAGGCAGCATGGCATTAACTGAGGTATGACACTTCCTTCTGACCTACTGAGAAAACCATCTCTGTCAAGAAGACTCACCAACCGGCTGTTTAAAACCACAGACTGAGATGAGGTGCAAACACAACACTGTTTTTGTACTATTAAAAGGCATGATTTAGTTGAAGGCCTACTGCTCATTCAGCAGTTAGAATAAACTATTCAGTTGTCAGCCATGGCAATTTTAATTTTAAGCTCTCTTTATGAACTAACTAACAGTTACACCATGTCTTATGACATTTATTAGAAGAAGTAAAACATGAGAATGGCACCACACTGCCATGTGCCTACAGAGTTTGTATCTGATAATTCCAAAATTTACACAACTCTGTCCTCTGTTCTATATAGTTCTCTACTTAAAGACTACTTTTGTCTATTTCAGGCTGAATTTTGGGGGACAATTCTCTCCTTTAGTTTTATAGTCCTATCTACATCATCAGTGAAATGTCATGACCTCCCATACACTGTGACTTAGGACACAATCGATGTGATTAAAAGAGCAGAGTCACATTTCACTTGCTTTTGCAATTCCCTCTGTCCTGACACAAGGGAAAAGCTGGGGAGCAAGACTGCTCCAAGGAGGCACCTTAACTGGCTCATCTTCACTAGATGTGGACCTTGACTGGATGTAAAACTTGACGTTCGGATTCCATACATATGTGTTCTCAACGGGATCAGTCTAGGAAAATAAGTCAGGAAAAACAAAAACCCAAGAAATCATTTGTAAACAATGTGCAGCTCTTAGCAAATTTCTGTAAGGCATGATCATGATAACATTTCAAACTTTAGTCTGAATATTCACATTGGGGATGTGTCCTTATACAAAAGTAGAACCACCAGCTTTCACATCAACAAAGGTTAAGATAACCATGGTTGCTAAAATGCTCCTCTCTGCACTGTTGATCTCTTGCTTTGAGCACTGATCTCTACTGTCTGTTCTTTTCTCATGTTCCACATGAAACTTTTCTGTTTCACAAAATAAACCATCCATGTGAAATAAGTGCAGAGGGTTTAACAGAGATACGTACTGCTGATCAGAGATAATCTTGTCCTTGTTAAGAATGAAATTTGGTCCTCGACCAGGCATTGGTTGAAAATGAAAGAAACTAACCTGTTAGCTTTCTGCTTGTCATTAAAGTAAATCCCCTTTTTATTTTGCAGCAGTAGAAATACCAGCACCTATATTCAGTTGCATCCTTTTAACCAAGTATATTTAGGAACTGAAAATGCTTTGGGTTAAAATTTAGCATGAAAGATCTCATGGAGCACATTGCTTGAGGATATATCCAGTTTGGCAATTTTCAAAATTACCAGGATTGGGTTTTTAAAATGAAAGGCAATGAGAGCAATTTGGAAAAAAGGTTAGGGAATTTGTTTCAAATATGTTGTACAGCAAGAACAATGCTTAGATCAGAAGTTACAAATCCATGAAAAGAGCCATCAGCTTAAGGATTTTAAATATGTACTTAAGACGTTTTTTAATTTTTCTTTATTATTTTTATGGTTGCTGTTTTAGGGACTGGCTAGTGGGCTGGCAAAACACTGCAGCAGCCCTCTGTTGGCATCCAACTACAGCCTCCCAGGGTGCCGGGCATGGGCAGGTGTTCCGGCAAAGCACCAGGCAAGACTGGTGGGGCTGACCAACACGGCCACCAACTGGACCTTCAACCTTCAGTTACTGGATTCGGGAGAAGTGGGGAGAAGGGTCTCGGTGAGGGCATCTACGGGACTTGGAGCAGCAGTGAGTCACCAACAGCGAGAAAAGCATCTCAGTGTTTTAAAAACTGGAACTACGGAACTGAAGCATATAGCAGCTGTGTATCAGCTCTGCATGTGCGCCGTGCCTAATTTCATAAAACCAGCATGCTTTATGAAGAGGGAGAGCCAGGCCTGAGTCTCACCTCCTGACTCCGTATTCAGTATCTTTTGTTGTACCAGAGGCATCCCACAGTAGAGGTATTCAATGCGATTCAGCGATCACGGACGCCGAGTTATTTTATCTCCTTTCCTGACAAGGAGCTTTGACCGGGAATAGGAGAGTAAAAGAAAGACGACAATGGGACTCAAGACAAATTCTGCCTTGTTCACGATTTTATTCAGAGACAGACTGGGGAAGGTAATCAGTTCAAATTATTAATCTGAAATATGACCCTGGGTTGGGAATAGGCAGAAATGTCTTTTACTGTCTAAAAATCTCCTCCTTCTACTTTCCATAAGATTATAGGAATTGCGAGCTACAAAACAGTCCATGGGGGAGAGGATTCAACTAAAACGGAATCGATAAGCAAAGCAGTACTGATACCTTTGACACTAATAGGAACTTAAAACTGACTCAAATAATCAAGACCGAACTGTCTCACAAAGTTTTAAAGAAGTGTCCGAGTAGGGGGTTTTCTACGTGTACAAAACTGGGTCATTTTAGGAAAATTTAAGTTTCTGACCTGTCACACAAAAGCCTTTAATCCATAGCTTGGCTGAAAGGCATAAATCAGAAGTTCCTGTGTGAAGGATGATGCTGTGAACAGGACTGAATAGCTAATATAGTGGCTTTGTACCTCTGGGTCCAATTACTTTAAAAACTCTTCAAAAATGAGAAAGGCAAGAGCTTGCTGTTTCCAACAGCACTGGTGAACTTTTAGAGCAGGCCTGCTCTTTGAGCCACGTGAACACGTGCAGACACAAGTTGACACACTGTGTTCTACACCTTCTTGCGCTGAAATTAGAATACACTGCCTTAAGCCATTTTGTCAGTACGCGCTCCAATGGGAGGTTCACATCACAAAAATCATCCAACCTGACCACCCACCTCCCCGCCCCACAGCTGGTTGTTAAAACATTTACCAGCGTGTTTCATGACCCTACGAAAATGTGACATGATGACAGTGTGACTTCAGGCAAAGGAAAAAATACGCCTCACTGTTTAATCTGTGATAACACAAATTAGCGACTCTTAAAGAACTCAAGGCTTTTATCACATACCTCTTGGCCCTTCTGAAGAGTAACTGTCACTTATAAAAGTTGTTTTCTCCTAACAAGTTTTTACTCATCAACAAAAATGAAAGAAGACAACAGGAATGAGAACAGATTTTAAAATGATTTTCTTAGCTGACTGAGGTAAAAACTGGTTATTCAGAAGAGGAAAATATTTAAATTTAAAAAATAACCCAATATTGATTGTAATAAAATAGTGAAAATTACCATACTAGCTTTTTTAGAGCTGTATGCTCTGAAAGTAAAAATAAATTCTAGAGATTAAACAAAATCAAGTTAGTTTTTGTAAAAAAAATTTAAAGTAAGTAAAAATATTGGAATAATATTTTGAGATGGCATTGAGTATATTAAAAAGTTGAACTATACCATTTACAATGATAGTCTTATTTAAAAAGAAAAACATGACTAAGTGAAATTCAAAGATTACTACTTTTCAAAAAAGTGTGTTTCTCATAAAGACAAGGAACAAAGTTTGGTAAAGATGAATAAACTCATGGCAAATAAGTTTGGAATATCAAACTAAAAAAAATTCCGGGGCCGGCTCCATGGCCGAGTGGTTAAGTTCGCGCGCTCCGCTACGGCAGCCCAGGGTTCGGATCCTGGGCGTGGACATGGCACCACTCGTCAGCCCACATTGAGGCGGCATCCCGCATCCCACAACTAGAAGGACATGCAGCTAAGATATACAACTGTGTACGGGGGGGGGGGTTCGGGGAGATAAAGCAGGAAAAAAAAAAAATTCCCAGGTCTTTTCAAAGACTCTTCTAGAAGCTAGTAGCTAATTAGATTAACAGTTTTAAGACTTCATTTCCTTTCTGGATTAGTGCCAGTGTAAACAATATCTCAAAAGAAGTTTAACAGTGAGAATAAGAAAAATACAATACCACTTACATATTTTCTTTATCAAAGTGTCACATCACCAACAGGACTATACTTTTCAAGATGTTATTAAGTTTATCTATAATTAAATGCTTACCAATGCATTTATAACTAATGGCTTATTCTATCCACTGAAAAGCAATTCTACTAAATTAATTTTACTAAACTTTCAGAATACTCAATGACTATATGCCAAGATTTACAGATAGGCTAAAATTAACTTTAATAATTAACTGGCAGTGATTCAGATATAATATGGAAGCAAAGCAACTGATTAATGGCATATTAGTTATTTTTACCTAATAAAACAAACAGAATCACTAATATTATTCTTAAACCATGGAAGTTAAAAAATTCTTTGTGTTATGAAAAATATAGCATTAAATGTAAGCAGTGACTTGAATTAATAATGCAGGAAAAGCTAATAAATGTGATATACCTCAATAGTAGAGATATCTTCATTCATTAATTGGGTTTATGAGTATAGAAAGAATGATTAAAAAAGGAAAATAAAAAACAAAAAGCAATAAATAGTTAATATTATTGAACAGTATATTTTGATACTATCTCAAGAAAGATCTTGGAAACAAATCTTAACTGAATAGTATAGGTAATTCACTCAATATTTCTTAGGCACAATCTACTGAGAATAATAAATAAGGAATATCTTTATGTAAATGTGACTTTTTCTATTTTTTAGTTTACTAATTCTTTTTTCTAAGTAAACATACTTTAAGGAGTTATTCTGATGAACAGACATTAGAAACATCTACTACACTCTAGTGTCATTTTTACTTACTGCGCTGTTTGAAAAAGAAAGAAAAACTGAGTTTATCAGCAGGATGGCCCAGAATGCCTAAGATCATCATGTAAAGAGTCCATAATGTTTCCTGAATCTATTAGGATTTCTCTAATGAATGATCCATAAACTGAGTATCAGCAGGATTGCCCACAATGCCTAACATCGTCACGTAAAGAGTCCATAGTGTTTCCTGAGTCTATTAGGATTTCTCTAATGAATGATCCATAAAACGTATTCTTAGAATAGTCTGGTAAAATAGAAAAGTTTTTTCCCCCTGGATCAGATCTGATTTTTAGATGACCCATTAATCAAGAACTCCTCAAATTAAGCAGTCTGCTCTTGTGATAAATAATGAAAACTACTCATCTTGGATATGCATCAATGGGCCTTTCCTACTCAAAAAATAATTACAGATTTGACAAATACAAGTAGCAAAACATTCTCATAAGAAATCTGGTTTTAAAAAGATAATAGGATTTGATATGGATTAAAAAATACCTTAGATCTAACATGTTGTTTTGTATTGGTAAATACGAAACTCTAAGTTAACAGAAAAAAATCCAGTTTTCATCACAATCATCTTTATCTTTTAACTATAAGTATTTTGGAAACAAAGTGGCAAGTAATCCAACTTTTTGTATTCAGAAATATAACCTCAAACTTTTAGTGATATAATTATTTCTGTTAATTGAGCTCATGATAAAATACAGTATTATAGAAATACTATATCATTTGGAAAACAGTAAATATAATATTTTACCATTCTAAAACAAATCATAAATTACTGAAGATTATGACTAAAGAGTGTGATCTTACTAGTTACAAATAATGTAACTTAGAATTTCTCTTTATGAAAATTTCTCAAGTTATGTTCAATATATTGATTTAAATATCTACTCTGGAGAATCTGCAAATATTCTAAGAAAGTATAAAAGAAAGTTAAGACACGTTAGCTATTTATAATCTCTGTTCCACACTCTAAAGGAATAATCTAAAATGAGACACCC